TCGATCTCCTGACCTTGTGATCCATCCGCCTCGGCCTCCCAAAGTGCTGGGATTACTGGCATGAGCCACTGCGCCCAGCTGTTTGCAAGTTATCAACGTACTCATTATTTCAGACTGGGCACGGTGGCTCATGCTTGTAATCCCAGCAGTTTGGGAGGCTGAGTGGGGTAAATCACTTGAGGTCAGGGATTCAAAACCAGCCTGGCCAACATAGTGAAACCCCATCTCTGTTAAAGTACAAAAATTAGTGTGGTGGCACATGCCTGTAATCCCAGCTACTTGGGAGGCTGAGGCATGAGAATCACTTAAACCCAGGAGGCAGAGGTTGTGGCGAGCCGAGAACATGCTACTGCACTCCAGCCTGGGTGACAGAGTGAGACCCTGTCTCTAAAATAAATAAACAAATATACTCATTATTTCATTAAAGCTTGTCAATCAGCTGAATCACAGATTCATAGTATATTTAGACTCTTTTGTATTTGAGCCAACTACTGAAATCAATCAGTGGCTGCTTGAGATAATTTGGCATAACTATCAGATTTATCAATTTAAAAAATAAAATTAGATCCTCACCTTAAATTCATTTATTTCATCATCATACTGCACACCTAGAAGGCGCCATCAATTCCACACATAGTAATTAAAGGTAAAAAATTCAAAAGACAGGTGTTTCATTGACCTATGTTCCTTGTAAATAGCCTTCAAATTTTCCATATGTTTGACACCTTTCATAATACAGGATTAGATGATACGGGCTCAGTGGCATAAACCTGTAGTCCCTACTGCTTGGTAGACTGAGGGAGGATCCCTGGAGCCCAGGAGTTGGAGTCCAGATGAGGCAACGTAATAAAACCCCTACCCCTTTAAAAAAAAAAATCAACTAAGTTAAGAAGAGAAGATAAAAATGCAAGTATGGCTGTACAGGAATAATTTAATTTTTTTCCTTTTCTAGTTTTTAGTTTTTAATTTTTATTTATTTATTTATTCATTTATTTATTTAGAGGCAGAGTTTTGCTCTTGTTGCCCAGCCTGGAGTGCAATGGCACGATCTTGCCTCCCAGGTTCAAGCGATTCTCCTGCCTCAGCCTCCCGAGTAGCTGGGATTATAGGTGCCCACCACCATGCCTGGCTAATTTTTTGTATTTTTAGTAGAGATGGGTTTTGCCATATTGGCCAAGCTGGTCTCGAACTTGGACCTCAGGTGATCCGCCTGCTTCGTCCTCCCACAGTGCTGGGATTACAGGCGTGAACCACTGCGCCTGGCCTGATTTTTATTTTTTTAATGTAAAATTAATGTGTGCTCACTATAAGGAAGGAAGGGAGAAAACATAGACGTGAAGGTCCTATTTACCATCCCTCACCTCCCCAGCTGCAGTAACTGTCATCACTGATCTGGACTGTACCCAGGGTTTCTTTTCATCTTTTTAGCTACTTCACTGGGAAAAATCATTAGAAAAAATTATCTCCTCCTACTAATTTTATATCAAAAATTAGAAAGGACAGTCTCAATAGTCTTGAAGAAAATGGCAGTGCCAATTAAT